CCATCGTTATGATCGAAATATGACGCCATGTAACAAGCCCGCCAACACCACGAAATTCTATTCCCCCCATTACCCCCGCGTAGTTCGGGCAAACGATATATCGAAACGGTTTTCGTTGATTTTGGGACCAGGGTTCTGTTTTATTCCGAACATGAGTGCTTTTGAATGTTTCCTGAAATACATGGCTCGGGGGATCCTCTGGGAAAGGCAGGCGGTGTCAGGCGTGGTGGGGGGTCCCGGAGCAGGCGTGGTGGGGGGTCCCGGAGCTTTTTTTGCAGGGTGAGTGGCCTCTAAGAACTGAGGCATAGGTGTTCCAAAAGGCAGAGGCGTGGTGGGGGGTCTTGGAGCAGGCGTGGTGGGGGGTCCCGGAGCAGTTTTTGCATTGCAGGGTGAGTGGCCTCTAAGAGCTGATGCATAGGTGTTGCAGAAGGCACGCGGTGTCAGGCGTGGTGGAGGGGTCCCAGAGCAGTTTTTGCAGGGTGGGTGGCGTCTAAGAACTCATGCCCAGAGCTGGTGACGTCAGGCGTTGAGAACCGATGTGCAGAGACCCGAGGAGGCTGGTGGTGTCAGGCGTGGTAAAAGCGTGGTGGAAGGGTGTTAAGATCATATGCCCAAAGGCTCCAGGAGAAAATCCAATCGCGCACGCGTCGTCGCCGTCGCTGTCATATTTGTCGTCGTCGGCGTCTTTTTCGTCGTCGTCATCATCGACCGCCGTCGTCCATGTCGTTAATGCGTTCGTTGTCGTGCTCGTCATCGTCGCTCGTCGTCGTCGTCACCGTCGTGATGCGTCGTCGTCGTCGTCGCTCGTCGTGGTGATCGTCGTCGTCATCGACGTCGCTCGTCGATTTCGCCGCCGTAGTAGTCGTCGTCGTTGTCGTCGCCGTCCTGCTCTTCGTGGTCTCTCGGCTGTGTCGCCGTCGTTGTCGTCGTCGCGAAGACGTCGTGTGCCCCATACGCCTCCTTTCCTGCCTCCTCCTTCCCTTCTCCTCCCGTGCCCCTCCATCCTCTCTCCCTCCCTCCCTCCCCTCCTTCCCTCCCTCCCTCCCTCCCTCAAGCCAATATCCGAACTCTTTCTCCCTTTCTCCCTGAACCCTCCCTCCCAACATCCTCCTTCCCTCTCTCTCCTCCCCCGTCAACGCCGCCCGCTGCTGGAAGAGGGGCGAAGGAGGGAGGGGGGGGGAAGGGAGGAGCGCCCCAGACATCGGAGCCCCGCGCGAGCGAAACGGGCCAGACGTGCCCCGAGGTCTGGGATGCTGCCTCCTCGCCCCCGCGGCACAAAGAGGAGAAGGAAGGCCGCAGGGACTTGGCTCGAGGACAGATCGCTCCAGAGCGCCTCGCAAGCCGTCGGAGAGCCCCGGAGATCAGAGCCCCGGACATCAGAGCCGGGGGGAGGGAGGAGCGCCCCAGACATCAGGGCCCCGAGGGAGCGAAAGGAGGCCTGCGGAGAGGACAGATCGCTCCAGAGCGCCTCACACGCCCTGGGAGGGCCCCCGGAAACGCTCTGGCGCGGCCACGGCGCCCCAGGCATCCTCCCGGGCCCGCGGGCTCCCAGAGGTTCCCGCGTTGTCCTGCTGGGATCACCGCGGGGGGGGGCCTCGGGGATAAGGGGGTTGCTGCGAGGGGGAGGAGGAGGAGGAGGAGGAGGAGGAGGAGGAGGAGGAGGGAGGAGGAGGAGGAGGAGGAGGAGGAGGAGGAGGAGGAGGAGGAGGAGGAGGGGGAGGAGGGGGAGGAGGAGGAGAGGAGGAGGAGGAGGAGGAGGAGAGGAGGAGGAGGAGGAGGAGGAGGAGGATGAGAAGGAGGAGGATGGAGGATGCTAGGGTTGCCGCGGGATTTGCCCTGGGGATAACGGGCTGTTGCTGGAGTGGGCTGTATCGGGCTTTCTGCCACATGGGGCGTTCCAGAAAGGGCATTGCCCTCGGCGGAAGTAAAACGAGGCCAGCTCCGCCAGCGGAAGCCGGCGGAAGGGCGGCGGAAGTATGAAATGCGCCCCCACGAGGTGGACACGTTTTTGGGTTCAGGGTTTCCGGAACCGGCCACATGTAGTCCATTTGAGTGAGGTCAGCAAGGTAATAACCTTGCTGACAGGTGGATTACACTTGCTCAGCTCAGCCCGGATCTCTAACCCCCTGCGCCACTCCGGGCACTTACTTATAGTCCACACATAGGACAGTCTTAGGCCAGAAAGCACCCACCTCATCATCCACGTGCAACCCCCCACGTGCAACCCCCACGTGCAATCCACGTGATCCCATTCGCCCGCTCCCGATGTTGCCCTCATCCTGACCTCGTTCTATTGGACGGGGTCGGGGGGGAGGGGGCAGCGCCGGCGCGCCCCTGCGGAGCGCCCCCTGCGGAGCGCCCCCTTGAGATGGCGGGCGGTGATGACTCGGGGAGTCTGTGTGTGTGTGTGAACCGTGCAGGCGCGCTTGCTTGCTCGACCTGTTCTACGCCGCGCCGGCCGCGCGCGCCGCCGCGACACCCAAAAACGCGTGCGTGTGTGCGTGTGTGTGTTTGTGTTTGTGTGTGTGTATGTGTGTGTGCGCGTTCTCTTCCACGTCGCTGGTGCCTGCAGCCCGCGGGCGCCTGGGACGCTCTCTTGCCTCTCGCCTTACCTCGCCCTCTGGCCAGCTGGCCTTTGGCGGTCACGCTGCAGTGTCCCTTTCACTGCCCGCTTTTCGCTGCTCCCGCCTCGGTACGGCTCAGTGCTGTGCGTTCTTCTCAGGACGCCGCGGTACGACGCACGCGGTGTCTCCTGTGCTCCCCCAGCCCCTGACTGGCTGCCACTCCACGCCGACCTTGCCTCTGTGGTTCGCCACGTTCGCCCACCGCGCTCTGGTCCAGCGCGCCTGGCTGCTGCCGCCCGCCGGCTGCTCATCGTCGAATTCTTTGGCGTCTGAGCGTTCCTCCTTCCTCTCGCGGCCTCCCCCCCTCCCTCCGTGCACGCTGGTCAATTCGCTAGTTAGTGCCCCTACTTAGCTGTCACGCTGGGGCGGATTTCGCCGCCTCGCCGCTTACGAAAAAAAGTGCGTGCGCGTGTGTGTGTGTATATGTGTGTTTGTGTTTGTGTGTATGTGTGCGTGCGTGCGTGCGTGTGTGTGTGTGTGTGCTTGCGCTGCGCCCGCATGTGGGACGTCCCCTTGGGTGTCGGCCAGTGCGCCCTCTCTTCTCCCCCCATCCACGCCCAGAACGCCCCAATAGCAATGTGATGCCCTCCCGCTTAGCTGACCCGCGCGCGCTCCGGCTTAGGTTTCGGCCGCCGTGTTTGGTTTGTTCCGTCTCGTCGCCGAGCGCGATGACGCGAGTGCCCCACAAAAGTTCGTGTGTGTGTGCGTGTGTGCGTGTGTGCGTGTGTGCGTGTGTGCGTGTGCGCGTGCGTGCGTGTGTGTGTGTGTGTGCGTGTGTGTGTGTGTGTGTGTGTGTGTGTGTGTGTGAGTGCGTGTGTGTGTGTGTGTGCGTCTATGCGTGTGTGCGTGAGTGTGTGTGTGCGTGTGTGCGTCTGCGCGTGTGCACGTGTGCGTGTGTGTGCGTGTGCGCGTGTGTGCGTGTGTGCGTGCGTGTGTGCGTGCTCGTGTGTCTGTGTGTACGTGTGTGCGTGTGTGCGTGTGCGTGTTTGTGCGTGTGTGCGTGTGTGCGTGTGTGCGTGTGTGCGTGAGCGCGTGCGTGCGTGTGTGTGTGTGTGTTGTGTGCGTGCGTGGTGTGGTGTGTGTGTGTGCGTCTATGCGTGTGTGCGTGTGTGTGTGTGCGTGTGTGATGTACACGTGTGCACGTGTGCGTGTGTGTGGTGTGCGCGCGCGTGTGAGTGTGTGTGTGTGTGCGTGCGCGTGTGTCTGTGTGTGCGTGTGTGCGTGTGTGCGTGGCGTGTTTGTGCGTGTGTGAGTGTGTGTGTGTTTGCGTGTGTGTGTGCGTGTGTGCGTGCGTGCGCGCGTGCGCGTGTGCGCGTGTGCGTGTGCGTGTGCGTGTGCGTGTGGTGTGTGCGTGTGTGCGTGCGTGTGCGCCGTGTGTGTGTGTGTTTTTATGTGTGTGCGTGCGTGCGTGCGTGCGTGTGTGTGTGTGTGTTTACGTGTGCTTGCCGGTGTGTGTGTGTTGTGTGCGTGTGCGAATGCGTGTGTGTGTGTGTGTGTGTGTGCGTGTGTGTGTGTGTCCGTGTGTGCGTGTGTGCGTGCGTGCGAGCTTGCGTGTGCGTGTGTGTGGTGTGTGTTCGTGCGTGTGTGTGCGTGTGTGCGTGCGTGCGTGCGTGCGTGTGTGTGTGGTGTGTGCGTGTGTACGTGTGCTGTGTGCGTGTGTGCGAGTGCACGTGTGCGTGTGTGTGTGTGTGTGCGTGTGTGTGTATGTGTGTGTGTCCGTGTGTGCGTGCGTGTGTGTGTGTGTGTGCGTCCGTGCTTGCGTATGTGTGTGTGTGTGGTGTGTGTTGTCGTGTGTGTGTGTGGTGTGCGTGGTGCGTGCGTGTGTGTGAGTGTGTGTGCGTGTGTGTGTGTCCGTGCGTGCGTGTGTGCGTGCGTGCGTGCTTGCTTGTGTGTGTGTGTGTGTTCGTGTGTGTGTGTGCGTGTATGTGCGTGTGCGTGTGTCTGTGCGGGGATCTCATGGCCCCTGGCCGCCTGGCCGTCCCCCCCCGTCTGCGCAGATGTTCTGGCCACGAGGCGCCCCCCCTCCGCTTGGAGGGTTTCTCCGAAGGGCTCAGGCGGCCCGTCCTTCTCCTCCTCCTCCTCCCTCCTCCTCCTCCATCCTCCTCCCCTCCTCCTCCTCTCCTCCTCCTCCTCCTCCTCCCTCCTTCTCCTTCTCCTTCTCCTTCTCCTTCTCCTTCTCCTCCTCCTCCTCCTCCTTCTCCTTCTCTCCTCCTCCTCCTCCTCCTCCTCCTCCTCTCTCCCTCCCCCTCCCCCTCCCCCTCCTCCTCTCCTCCCCTCCCCCTCCCCCTCCCCCTCCTCCTCGAGTCGCCAACGGCTCTGGGGGAAACCGTGCAGCCCCACTCTCTTCCTGGCCGCCCCGCTCTGGCGCGCCGGGAGGTGGAGGAGCTCCTCCCCGTGGTGGACGCCAAGGTCGGGGGCTTCAGCGGCTACAAGGCCCCACTCAGCCGACCAGAGGGGAAGCGGGGCCCACTCGGCCGCCATTCTCGCGTGAGCCGCCTGCTTCAGGTGGCGCGTCAGCGCCCTCGCGTTTCCAACGTGGCACGCCGCGCCGGCGGCCCGTGTCAGCCACCGCGTAGGGGCGCTATGTCAACGTGCGTACGGCCTGCTTACTTTCGTCGCTCCTTCGGCGGGGGCGCACCGCGGGGGCCCCTCGCTGCAGCGCGGCAGCGGCTCGGCCCAGCCCCCCGATGCTGATGCCCGTGCGTGGGAATCGCCTGCTTCCGGACTGGTGGGGTCCCAGACGGGCTCGCGGTGTGCGCGGAGGCGAACAGCGCGACGGAGGTGTTTGGCCGCGCTCGGCCTCTGGGGGCCGTCGCGGGGCCCGGGACCGTCAAATAGGGACTCGGATGAAAACCGGATTCGAGGATAGGGTCGGGGCTCCCCGGGACTGCGCATCGAAAACATCAAAATGACGCATGTTCGGGGAGGGAGTTCTCTTGCTGCAGCCGGCCAGGGAGGGAAGATGAGGCAGACCGCGAAGACGGCGAGGAGGACGAGGAATGGCGTCGGCTCCCGGTTTTTTTGTCAGAGCATCGACCCCCAGAGATCTCGACCGTTTGCCCGGGGACAGCTTTTCATCCTGAGCAGTTTCTCGGTACCTCCGCGGCCCGGTGAGGGCCGCAGGAGGTCCACGACGCGCGGGGGGTTGGGGAGGGCGGGGGTGGAGGGTGGGGCGATCTGGACAGGGTCCATCCAGTCTGCTCGCTCCGGCGTGGTATCGATTGTGGCGGGCCCGATCCGGATCGGATCCTATGTGCCGACGGTCCGACGCCGCCCGAGGCTTGCACGGCGCTGCTGTGCATCCTGGCGCGGCCGATTCGGGTCGATTCCGACTCCGAGGCGATGCGGCCCGATTCGATTCACGTTCTGACCAGATCCGATCCTGGGATCCGATGCTGGATGTCAGCCACGCGCAGAGGGGGGTGGAGGGAGGGGGGAGGGCTCTTTAGAAGCACCCCTGCTTCTTGGAGGGCGCGGGCCTGATCTATAGATGTAAGGCCGGCGCCTTCTAAGAAGCAGGGGTGCTTCTAAGAAGCCCTCCCAGGCACTCCACCCCCCTTGTGCGCACCGCCAGGGTTGCGCATGCCCAGACGTCGAACGTCTTGAAACACAGCTAGTCGGAGACACTCTTCAAAACTTGAGCCTCTGGGGCCCTCGCCTGGCCCGCGGATCGCCAGAGGAGCGACTCGGCACGCAAAGCCGGCCCTTAGGGTTATGTCGGGCCTGTCCCTCTGCGGGAGGAATCTTCAAGAATTGTCAAAAATAGTCTGGGGATTATTTTTCGAGTATTTCTTGCCTATTACGAATATGTCTCTACTATTTTAAGTTTTCCTCCAAAGCCGGCCTGGTGGGGGACAGGCCCGACCTAACCTTCGGGGAAGGGTCGGGACGTCTGAGGGACCCCATCCCATCTTGCAGAGGAGGAAGAGGTGCCGATACCGCTAGGTACCCCTCCCTCGTTTTCCCCTCCTGGGGCCTCCTGCGAGGCCCTCGTCGCCACGGCTGGCTTCGCCTCGAAATTCTGGTCAGAACGCACCCCTGGGAGGGGTCCCCCCGGGGGGAGCAGCGGGGTATCGGTACCTCCTGGCTTCCCCCCCCAGGAGCGGTGCGGCAGGTGCGCGCCGCGTCGACGCGGCGGCGACCCAGCACGGGCCTTCCAGGTGCAGCGCCTCCAGCGGCCCAGAGTTGGCCACTGTGGAACGACCTGGCGATCGGAGAGCCACCGGTCGTTCAATCCGAACAAGAAAAGACGGCATTAAACCTAGCTTTCAGCGCTCCGCGCGGACCCCCAGCGCAGATCCAGGAAAAAATCCACACGGATTTCTTCTTCTTCTTCTTCTTCTTCTCCTTCTTCTTCTTCTTCTTCTTCTTCTTCTTCTTCTTCTCTCTTTGTCGAACGATTTCCGCAGTGCCACGACACGAATCCGCCGCAGGTCGGCCGGCAGGGCCAAGGCTTCCCCAGGGGGGGTGGGGCTAGCTTCTCTTGTCCAGGTCCAGGTCTGCCGCGGCCCACGAGTTCGCACGAGGCCCTCCTTCTCCTCCTCCTCCTCCTCCTCCTCCTCCTCCTCCTCCTCCTCCCCCTCCCCCTCCTCTCCCTCCTGCCCCTCCTCCCCCTCCTCCCCCTCCCCCCTCCTCCTTTCCTCGGGGTAGCTTGCCGCCCCGGATCCGTTTTCGATGACCCGCGATGAGACGGGTCCCGCCCCAGGAGGCCGCTGTCGAGGAGACACGCCGACACGCAGCCCCTCCGCCCCATCCCGCCGACCCATCCCGCCGACCCGCGCACCTCGCCGCCCCATCTCGCCAAACATCACGGCTCGAGGATCGAGTAGGATCGAGGCTGGTTTGGTCTGTTATCGAGGCTCGAAGAGGATGATGCTCGGAATGGACGGAGGATCAAGTCGGATCGCGGGTCGTGGATACTTCTGAGGTCGAAAAGGACCAGACGAGAATAGCAGTCCGGGGTCGAGGATCAACGAGGATCGATATGGAAGCTTGTCGATGCCACTCGCCGTTCCCCACCCGGCAGGCTGCGTTGTGCGATGCTAAGAAGCAAGGTTCCCGCCTCGCCTCGCCCGCCCTGCACGCCGCGGCCGACAGGGCCCAAGAATCCGGGTGGTCCCTGGGTGTCCCGCCGATCCCGCCCCGCGCACTGCGGCCGCCGGGCCGCATCCATCCGGCTGGGTCTGGGGTTCTGGTCTCCCGCCTCGCCCGCCCAGCACAACGCGGCCGGCAGGCCCCAGAGAGCCCCGAGAGTCCAGCGACGGCATGACAAAAAAAAGACAGGCGTACAGGACAGGCGTGACTAACAGACAGTCCCACCAGCATGGACGCGACACGCTGCCCAGGCTTCACGGACTCACGCTGCCCATGGACATCTCGTACAGACATACAGAGCCTACGATAGGACATCGCATTGCAAGACCATACACTAGCGTGCCAGTGACATGCCGGCAAGAACCCCCATCACGAATCACATACATCAGGAACGTGCACCAACAGCATACAACAAGCGCCGACAACAATAGCAGGCATCACTAACCGTCACCAGAGGTATAACCAATTATTTTCGCGACATCCTTCAGGAACAAACGCCCAGAGCAGGCATCAGTAAGTGACCCATCGACACACACACGATTACGAGACACCAGTAGCAGTGACACATAAGCAACAGCATTAACAGCCACCAGCAACAGGCGTCGACAGCAGGCACCAATACCATACACCAATCATGCGCCCCAGTGACATTCCACGAACAGAAGGACACCAGGAGCACACACCACTGAACACACATCAACCACATACATCCAGAGCAGACATCAGCAATGTACACCGAACGCATACACCAATACGTGCTACCAGGATTATCCACGAACGACAGGCGACAGGAGCAAACATCTCATCGATACGCTAAGAACCTCCACCAATCACCTCCCGCCAACAACACACATCAGGGACGTACGCTCGTGGCATGCTCTCTGCTGCACTCGGCATCGTTGGTGGGGACCGATCGGATCGAAGTGAGGCGTGCTGCATGGCGCGCCCAGGGGCATTCTCGTCGCCACGGCTGGATTTGCATCGAGAGTCTGACCAGGGCGCTCCCCTGCAGAGTCCCAGGGGGCTGATTTTTTCTATTGCGGGATGGTCCAGGTTCGGGCTCGCTCTCTGAGGGTGCCGCGCCAGGCGCAGGCAAGATCTGTGGTAAGAGGGTGCGCTGCTTCCGCTCGGCCACCCTTTGCACCCCTGCTCCTTCGGCCCGTGCCGAGCCCATGCCGTGACGCCCAGGGAGCTCTGGATGGCAACTGCGACTTCCAGGGGCCTCGCGCCCCTACCCTGCATCCTGACCGAGGATGTTGACTGTACCTTCCAGTCGGGCCTGTCCCTCCACAGGGGGAATGTTCAAAGATAGTCAGCATATAGTCTGGGGACGATTTCTTACTACTTTCAATTTTTCTCCGAAGGACCAATCTGTTTTTTTTTTCTGCCCAAAATCCCCCTGTAGGGGGACACGCCCGACCTAACTGCACCTCGACCGTGCCCCACCCTTGCTGCTGCCCTCCCTCGGGGAAGCCCCCTTCGGCCGGCCCGCTGCGATCGGGGGCCGGCCGTGCGGGCCGAGCCGCCGTCGGCCGCGCGCAGGGGAGAGCTTCTTAGCAGGACCCCTGCTGCTTGGAAGGCGCAGGCCTTTTCTATAGATTTAAGTCGGCCCTGTCCCTCTACAGGAGGAATATCAAAAAACACTGCAAAAAATAGACGAATGTTTTGTGTTTTTTCTATACTTTTGGATTATTTTTTTGTCTATTTTCAGTTTTTCGCCAATAACCCGCCTGTAGGGGGACAGGCCCGACCTAAATCTGCAGATGCGGTCGAGGCTGGCCCTTCCTCGGAAGCAGTCTCCTGCCGAGGAGCCTCTCCGCCTCACCCCTGCCCCCCTGGTGCTCGCCGCCGACGCTGGCGAGGCCGCCCGCGCACCGTGGCGGACCGAACCCGCGCCGCCGCAGGCCGGCGAGAAGATCAGCGACCACGACTCCGCGCTGGGGCGCGCCGGGGCCTCTCGATCGCAGGCCCAGAGGTTGACACCCAACACCAAGATCGGCGCTGTGCCTCCGCCGAGGGAAGAAGGTCACGATCTCGGTGGTGGTGGTAGTATTCTGGCTTCCAGGGTGACCGGACTGTCACCACCAACACCGAAATCTGGGATCGTCTTCCGCCTGTGGGGGCAACCCCCTGTGTTGGTGTTGGTGCCCATTTCCAGGCCTCCAATCTCGAGACCGTTGTTCCCGCAGATCGCAGGCGAGGTCTCGCCCCGAGCCCCCTGGCTGAACCATTAGAAATCCAGCCGCTCGGCAAAGGAGGGAGCCTCGGGGATTCGCCTCCCAGGTGGCCATTAGGACGCACGCTTGTCGAGGATGGACGCCCTCCTGTCCTAGTTCCCTAGGTTGGGCCCCAAATTTTTGGGCCGTTCGAAAGCCCTGCGAAGTCGGGGGTAGGGGTCAACACATTTTCTGTTATCAGATGCGGGCGCTGCAATTTTGTCACACCAGGCGTTGTTGCCTCGTTTGGGGCCCCAGGACCTTCACAGATCTGTCCGGCTCGAGAAATGGCGGAGGAAGATGGGGTCCAGGTAGTGATTTTTCGTGATACTCAGCCAAGTCGGACCTCAGGGTTTTATCCTTTGGCGACAGCGGGCGTGACCGAGGGAGGGGAGAGAGGATCGGGCCGACTCTTGTCTCACCCCTCAGTCTCGTCCAGCCGATCCCCATCCCCATTGGGCCACGTACCCCAGCCCCCAGCCCCACCATCTCACCCCGCCAGTCGGAGGTATGGCTCGTCGAAGCCCGAAGGGAGCAGCGTATATCCACATCTAGGGGGGCAAGTCGGCCAGTAGGGCCAGAGCCATGCCAGTGGTGATGGCGATCGGTGAAACGATGCTCAACTGCCCAAGGTTCCTCCAGAACAGCCGACCGCTCGGAAGGGGGACTCGGGAATGCAGCCCCAAGGGGGCTGCTCGGACGAAGTGCCATCCAGGACGAGCGCCCCCAGTCGCACATCCCCAAGTTTGGCCCAGAGTTTCCTGTCCAGTCGAGGACCCCCTAAAGCCAGGAGCCAGGGGTCGGGTCGCCATCCTCCCCTTACACATTGTTCATGTCTAATTCTTCGAGAGTTCTTGGATTTCGTGGGGGGGCCAAGATCCTTTCATTCCTAATTGTTCTATCCTGGGCCTCTTCCTGGCCACTAGGGGGCCAGGAACAATTAGAAACGAGCACACTTAGAAATCAGCACGATTAGAAATAAACGACGTGTACCCAGAGGCCCATCCCCCCGATAACGGGGGGATGGGCACACGAAACGGCATCGACCCCCGATCACCCAGCCCTCGCCGACCGGGTCCTGGGTGGTCCTGCCTGCCCATGGAAAGCCGAGCTGTCCCATCGGGAGCACAGCGCAGATCTGTCAGCGATGTGGTGTCGATTCCAGGCGCCCCTCCCCCCACTGCCCCGCCCTCCCCTGAGATCCTGGCGTTGCAATTTTTCCCCCCCACATGTTTCGTGGGGTTATGGTTTTCTTCTCTGCCGCGGCGCACCCGCGTCTCCTCACACACACCTCCCCTCCCCCCACACACAGCACAGCACAGCTCAGCACAGCTCAGCTCAGCTCAGCTCAGCACAGCACAGCTCAGCAGGCCATTGCGCAGGGCACGGCATGCGTTACACTTTAGATCGCCACAGGGGGTGCGCTGGGCGTGGGGGCCCTATGCGTTGTAGGCTCCCAGGGCGTGGCAGGCGTGGCATTTCCTCGACGCCACAGGGGGTGTGCTGGGGGTGGGGGCCCTATGCGTTGTAGGCTCCCAGGGCGTGGCAGGCGTGGCATTTCCTCGACGCCACAGGGGGTGCGCTGGGGGTGGGGGCCCTATGCGTTGTAGGCTCCCAGGGCGTGGCAGGCGTGGCATTTCCTCGACGCCACAGGGGGTGCGCTGGGGGTGGGGGCCCTATGCGTTGTAGGCTCCCAGGGCGTGGCAGGCGTGGCATTTCCTCGACGCCACAGGGGGTGCGCTGGGGGTGGGGGCCCTATGCGTTGTAGGCTCCCAGGGCGTGGCAGGCGTGGCATTTCCTCGACGCCACAGGGGGTGCGCTGGGGGTGGGGGCCCTATGCGTTGTAGGCTCCCAGGGCGTGGCAGGCGTGGCATTTCCTCGACGCCGCAGGGGGTGCGCTCGGGGTGGGGGCCCTATGCGTTGCAGGCTCCCAGGGCGTGGCAGGCGTGGCATTTCCTCGACGCCACAGGGGGTGCGCTGGGGTTGGGGGCCCCATGCGCTGCAGGCTCCCAGGGCGTGGCAGGCGTGGCATTTCCTCGACGCCGCAGGGGGCGCGCTGGGGGCGGGAGCTCGTATCTTGTCAACAACTGTAAACACCTTGGCTCAAGCCGGCTCGGCGCGCCTGCGCTCTCACGCAGGCGCGCTCTTGTAGCCCTACTTCAGAGCACCGCCCGACCTGCGCGGCAGCCATGCCTCCCAAAATCGCCGTGGACGCGCTGCCACCTCCATGTTTGGCGATGAAGACTGCAATGGTTCAGATGGGCGGCGAGGTTAGCGCGGAGACCTCCCGCAGATGCGCCAGCGGAGTGGTGCAGTCCGCTTTGAATGCGTACCGCCGCCAGCTTCACAATTGGTGGCCCGATACGCTCTACGCGAGGTACTCGGAGATGAACGACGACGGCAAGAGGCGGTGCTTGGTGGCGTACCTGCAGAACCCTGCGTCGGGCGGATTCCCCCAGGAGGCTCTTTTAGACAACGGCGGCGGCCCGCCGGCGAAGGCGCGGCGAGCGCGCGAGGCCGGCAGCGCGGCGGCTGACGCAGGGGCCCCCGCCGCCGCGTTTGCCACGCCCCTGAAGGCTACACCGACGAAGGACACGCCAACGAAGGCCCCGCCCACGCAGACTTGCACTCCGCAGCGGTCCCCGGCTTTGCTGCTGGCTACTTCTGTTCGTTCCACTGGCACTCCTCGCGGTCAGGTATCCCCCGGGCCCGTGGAGGCGGACGAGCGTTGGTGGCAAGGACCTGGGTCGCGGAGCCTGCGACAGTCGGTCGCGGCGACGTGTTTGTGCGCCCTGGCGGATAAGTGAGCTGTCGGATGGTGCAATTCGTTCGCAGAGAAACGGGCGGTGGATCCACAGTTCCAACCGTCCAAGAGGGGTGCCGATGCAAACTTGCGGTAGGCTCTCAACAGATACTCCAACGGCCACCACCCGAGCTACGGGATGGATGTTCCCACCCTTCGATTGTTCGCATTGCAGCCTGACATGCTCGTAGTAGTGGTAGGAGTAGTTGTAGTAGTAGTAGTCGTAGTAGTAGTAGTAGTAGTAGTAGTAGTAGTAGTAGTAGTAGTAGTAGTAGTAGTAGTAGTAGTAGTAGTAGTAGTAGTAGTAGTCGTAGTCGTAGTCGTAGTCGTCGTAGTCGTAGTCGTAGTCGTAGTCGTAGTCGTAGTCGTAGTCGTCGTAGTCGTAGTCGTAGTCGTAGTCGTAGTCGTAGTAGTAGTAGTAGTAGTAGTAGTAGTAGTAGTAGTAGTAGTCGTAGTAGTAGTAGTAGTAGTAGTAGTAGTAGTAGTAGTAGTAGTAGTAGTTGTTGTTGTTGTTGTTGTTGTTGTTGTTGTTGTTGTTGTTGTTGTTGTTGTTGTTGTTTTTGTTGTTGTTGTTGCGGTAATAAGATTAGTGCCGATGGTACACTCAGGAAATAAAATAGGTATGTGGGGTTTTTCGGTGGCGTAATTTCACAGCGGGCGTTTTCGCTCCATTTCGGGCGCCGGGGCCCTCACATATCGATCCGGCTCGAAAAATGACGCAGGCAGATGGGGTCCGGGGCTCCGGGCGCGGATCTCTATGATGTTGTAATTTTTCGCTACGTCGGATCTCAGGGTCCGAGCCAGTTCCCCCGTGGGGCTCGCTCCCGGCCGGCCCCCGGGCCCTCGTTGCCGCAGGCAGCCACTGACCCGAGCTGGTGTTAATCTCCTTCGCCCGCAGGTGGGCTGGCTGACACGGGGATGTTTACCGAAGCGCAATCAAACCTCCTCGTCATTGCCCCTACCTTCTGCCTCCCCCCTCCCTCCTCCTCCTCCTCCCGGGGGTGGCGGAGGGAAGAGGGAATTTTGTCCATGATCACCACTGGTGGGAGCAAGGCTCCGTGCAGTACCGTCAGCGACCTGGCGCAATTGGCATATGATTTGCTTGAGATCTCTTTGCGGTTTGCTAGAAGATCGCGCTTTCGTCTGGGGCTCTGTCACAATTCATTATGGAGTCGCGCTTTCGCCTTTTCAAGGGTCGTGCTCTCGCCCGGGACATCCTGACAGCTTACTCAAGAACCGAGCTCTCACTTAAGATGTCCGTGCAACTTGCAGCCAGGACGCTGAAATCAGGTTTACCTTGGGTTCGGGAAGGGATCTGATTTTCGGGCCGTTCATGGGATCTAGGTCGGGGAGGTCATTCGTGGCTGAGGCGTGCCGTAGCCAGAAGAGCCGATCCGTCCTTTATTCAGCGTTCCTCTGGGTAGAGCAGGCCCGCGTCGTGTCGATTTGTAGCGACCCCGCCGCGGGCGTGCAGGGTTGATCGCCGCCCGTGCCCCAGAATCGGCAAATGTAGGACGATTTGGAGATCGAAACATCGCCAATTGTTCACGGCTGAGCGATCCACGCGGTGTCAGAAACCAGCGCCAAAGTCGTGACGACACGAACTTGCCGTATCAGTACGACTATACTCGGGATTCGTGTTTTCTTTTGTAGCCGCTTAGACACCGCGCCCTCGCTTGCGGCTTCGTCGCCTCCTCTCGCTTTGATGTCTTGCTTGCCCGGCCCGCCCCCGCCTGCCTGGCCCGCTTGACCCCAATCAGTGGATGGTTTGATGAGACCGATGGTGAGATCGATTGAGCGAGATGAATCGTGAGATCGATCATGAGATCAATCATGAATCGTGCGATTGATGAAGAGATCGATAAGGAGATCGACCGGGCACCCGGGAACCAAGGAACCCAGAACCCACCGAAATCAGCCCGGAACCAATTACCAGGAATCCGGGAACCGGGAACCGGAGAACCCAGCCGGCTACCAACATCGGCGGGAAATGTTCGCCAAATCTTTCAATATCCGCTAGGATCCCTTCAGTGCAAGCACTGCATGACTCGAGGGGTCTGTGGCACACGCACACACGCACGCGTGTTTTGCTTCCGGGCTGGTTGGTCCAACTCAGCAAGGGCGTTCGCGGGATGCGCTACGCGGATTACCACCGAGCGTGCCGCTCGAGCAATGGACAGGCGGTGGCGCGTGCAGAAAGAAGGGGGATGCACGACAGTCATGCTGGTGCAGCGCCGCTGCAAATGCACCCAGGCATAGAAATCGGCGGCAGCGAGGGTAGAAGCAGTTGGGCTGGCAGATGCAGGGATGCCGACCAGGCAACGCCCCCAAAAAAACACCCACACACACACACATACACACGCACACACCACACGCACGCACGCACGCACGCACGCATGCACGCACTTCGTTGGCGTCGCAGCTACGTGCGCAGCGTCGCGAGGTAGAAAGTTTCGGAGAGTTGCGCGCACCGGCCCAGCTCACGCAGCGGGGAGTCGCTGGATACACACACACACACTCACACGCTTTGCATGGCACGCGAGCAACCAAAAAGCAAGCCGTTTGAGAGTGATGGTTGCGGATGGTGCGAAGAGGGGTATGTGCTAAAATTTAGGTTGGAGACGGGTGAGGGAGACGGTGACGGGACGGGGAAGGCAGACGATGGGGGTGGATAGAGGAGGGCGGAGGAGAGGATTCATGGATCAAGAAGGGGAAGGGAGAAGGCAGCGAGAAGGGCACGGGGATGGAGGATGAGGAGCAGGCAGTGTTGTTGATGACTACGAGAAGGAAAGTAAATGTTGATGAGGAGGCGGCATGGTGATGAGGTTTTCCGGCTCTCCTCTCTCCTCCCTCGCCCTACTCTTCCATCTCATCCTCTCTCCTCCGCCTCCCTCCTGATCCTCGTCCTGCTAATCCTCGTCCTCGTCTCGTCCTCGTCCCCCGATCCTCCTCCCCCCGCTCCCGCTCTTCCTCCCCCCTCCTCTCGCCGCTCTCCTTCCTTCCCCCTCCCTCCAGTCCTCCCTCTCCCAGTCCTCGATCCCTCCCTCCCTCCCTCCCTCCGTCTTCTCTCCTCTCTCATGTTCCTCCATCTCCTCCTCCTCCTCCGCCCTCTGCCTCCCTTCTCCTCGTCCTGGCTCTGTTCCCCCTCCTCCTCATCCCTCGTCCCCCTCCTTCCGCGAATCATAACTACTCCCGCCCCCCTGTCTTTATCCTCCTCATCCTTATCCTCTCGCCTCCCTCATCTTCTCTTCCCCCACTCCTCTTTCATCCTCCTGTGTGTTGCTCTGCGTGGGGCTGCTGTCCTTGTGCAGTGACCACGAACACCCTCTTCCGTTCTTCCACCCCTCCCTGGTTGTGAAACAAGTTTATGGGAGCTCAGCTTTTGGGCCACTGTTGCAAGCGGCAATGTTTTCTCCGTCGGGCGCATCACCACTACCAACGTCATCACCACCACCACCATCGTCAGCAGCAGCATCAGCATCAGCATCCTCCTCCCCCTTCTCATCAGCATCATCATCCTCATCATCATCATCATCATCATCATCACCATCATCATTATCATCAGCATCAGCATCAGCATCAGCATCATCATCATAATGAGTATCATCATCATCAGTATTCTTGATGCTAATATTATCATCATTGCCATCGACAACAACATCATCGGCAGCAGCAGCATCATCATCATCAGCACCGTCGTCCTCATCACCGTCTCCCCGCGTGATCATGTCTCCACCTACTCCCCCCCGTCCTCCTCCTGCCCCTTGTCGATTCCCTCCTCCCCACCACTCTAAGTTTCAATTCCGATCCGGCACGATTCGGTTCAATTCCGATTTTCCGATGTGTCCCGATGCCTGCACGGGGCTGTTATGCATCCTGACGACACAGATTCGAGTCGATTCCGATTCCGTGCCGATGCAGCCCGATCCGACGCCCGTTCCGATCCGCTCCGTTTTCCCGATTCCATGTTGACCGACATTGGTGCCGCCTCATTCAGAGAAGAAGCAGCCGCATAAACATCAACGTGCAAAGGTGCGCGAGAATGGTTGGGATCGCCGTTGGGCCGATCCTGCCTCCGCCAGGCGGCGGTGGAGGATGAGGGGGGAGTGGAGGAGGATGGGAGGAGGAGGAGGAGGAGGAGGAGGAGGAGGAGGGGAGGAGGAGGAGGAGGAGGAGGAGGAGGAGGAGGAGGAGGAGGAGAGGAGGAGAAGAAGGAGGAGGAGGAGGAGGAGCAGGAGCAGGAGGAGGAAGAGGAGGAGGAGGAGGAGGAGGAGGAGGAGGAGGACAAGGAGAGGGCGGAGGAGCAGGAAGGGAAGGAGGAGGAGTGGGGGCGGGGAACGAGGTACATCCTGGAGCACGTCGAGGAGAAGAAGGAGGCGGAGCAGGAGGAGAAGGAGGACGAGAACGAGGAAAAGGAGGAGGAGGAGGAGGAGGACGAGGAGGGGAAGGAGGAGGAAGGACGAGGACGAGGACGAGGAGGAGGACGAGGAGGACCAGGAGGAGGGGGAGGAGGAGCGGGGAGGAGGAGGAGGAGGAGGAGGCGGAGGAGCGGGAAGGAGGAGGAGGAGCGGGAAGGAGGAGGAGGAGGAGGAGGGGGAGGAGGGGGGGGAATGAGGAGGGGGACCACGGTGAGCAGAGGGCCGACCATCCCCCAGGTACATCCTGCAGCACGTGCCCGATGCGCTCCCTTCCTATTTCGGGCTGCCAAAGGAGCAGGCGCGGGCACGCACGGGCACCGGCGCGCGCCGGCCTTGCGGCCGCGGTTGCGCCGGGGGCGGCCGCGTGGATTTTTTCGCCGTCGAAGGGGGACGGCCGATCGGACCTCTCGAAATTTGCCCAAGCGAAAACCACGACCGACGGCTTCTGACTATTTTCGGCTCCCGGGGGCCCTCATTGGGCCCCGGGACAGTCAAGAGACGACTGAGGATAATTATTTTCAATTCGATGCGGAGATCCCCATATGTGCATTTCAGTTCCTTGCGCTCCCGTCTGAGAGTCTCTAGGAAAGGAAATCTAAGCCTGTGCCGACCAAGCGCTCTCTGGCGGCTCCCCCAAGCAGTGCCAGCTCTCTGGAGCCTCCCCCTGTCGACTCCCTGTTGGGCTGCTCCAGTACCACGCCAGCCACATCGCCGTGAGCACGGGGCTTTGAAAAGGGAGAAGCTTGATCAATCAAACGGGCAGATGTCCCCACCCCTGGCGGATACTTCATTGGCCGCTCAAATACGATTGTTGTGATATCGCGATGAGCATGGGGTTTTGAAAAGATAGAAGTCTGATCAACCAACCAACACGTTCACCGCCTGAGACAGCCCGACGATCAGGACGCGAACGGGCAAATGCCCCCATCCCTGCCAGCTCCTCCTTGGGGCGCTCAAGTGCCACGCTTTTTACATCGCGATGAGCATGGCTTTGGAACGAAACAAAAACCAGATCAACCAAAGAAGCAAAACGCTTCTGAGACATCCTCAGCATTTGCGCGCAAAAGGGCAAACGCCACCACCACCCCCACGGATCCTCCTTGGGGTGCTCAAGTCTCACGCCTGCTACATTGCGACAAGCATGGGGCTCTGAAGGGAGAGACGTCTGATCATCCAATTCGGCAAACCGCTTGGGACATCCCTACAAACTGGGCGCGAACGAGCAAATGTCCCCCCCTTGGCGGCTCCGCCTTGGTGTGCTCAAGAGACACGGCTGCGACATCGCGATGAGCATGGGGCTTCGGAAGGTATCAGCCAACCAGGCAACCGCCTGGGACATCCCCACAATCTAGGAGCGAACGGGCAAAGTGGGCATGAGTGGGCGTGAGTGTGAGCACGTCTGAGTAATTATGAGTGTGTCTGAGTGGCAGTGAGCTTGAGTGTGCGTGTATCCGAGGTCGTCTGTGCTTGACAATGAACTATATGAGCGTGACGAGAGTGAGTGTGAGTCTATCCGACTGGGTGGGACTCATTTTGAATAATGAGAAAGAGAGAGAGGGAGAGAGAGAGAGAGAGAGAGGGAAAAAAAAAACACCAGAAACATGCAATAACACGTTGAACAGGAAGCGGGAGTGAGTGAGGAGGTGGATGCGCCCCAGTAATAACAACAAGCACCTACTTGGTATTCGGGGGAGCAACTATCCTGGGGAGGCGGTCCAGACCTCTGGTGATCGTTTTTTTTTGTCAGAGCAATCACGACGTCGGAGGTCTGGGGGGAGGGGGGGGGGGGGGGAAGGACGCTTTCGCTGGATCTTGGAGGCTCGTTCGCCTCGGGATGCGTGCCGGCAGCCGCTCCTCGTCGAGGGTTCTCCACGGGTGCCCGGGATCGTCCTGAACGGCCGCCGGGGACCTGCGCTGGCCCCAGAGCCAGGACACGAAGACCACCAGGCGACGAGGAGGGGTGCGTGGATCAGGGGTGTGTGGATGCCATGGTTAGGGGGCCACATGCGAGCCCTACCCCTGCCCCCCACGATTTCTGGGGGGGAGGGTGGGGTTCACTTCGTTCGGGGTGGGCGAAGGGAACCCCACCCTCCCCCCCAGAAATCGTGGGGGGTAGGGGTAGGGTTCGCATGTGGCCCCCTAACCATGGCCGGGGGCAAGGGAATCTCCCACTGCCCCAGACGTTTATTCGAAAACGAAGAACACCATGAGAAACAACAAATCGGAGGTTCGCACGGATTGCTCGGATCACCGCTGCCCCCCACCCCCCCTTTGGCGTCGCCTCCGCGCGCCAGGGAAGGGGGCGCCGGCGCCGGTCCAGGGAATCCGCGCGGACCTCCACAGGTTTCTGCGCGTGCAGCTGCTAATTGTTGTGTTACGGGAGGAAGAGCACAGCCAAGACGCTGATATGAGGACACCCTGGGTTCGGGTGCAACTCCTGGGAGGTCAACTTCTTTTTTTAGCCCTGGTCCGGAATCCCGCTTAATCCGGCTTAATCCCGCTTAATCCCGCTGCATCCGGCTTAATCCCGCTCAATCCCGCCTGCTGAGTCCCGCTTGATCCGGGGCCCACTCTGGCGCAAATGCTTCCCCAAGGAGGCTCAATCCTCTCTAATCCTTCCGAGGAAACCCTCCCAGTAGTTGCCTCCTGCTGTGGTTTGCGGGCCTGTTCCTCCGATCGGTGTCGGGGAACCTCGTCGCGGCCGAGGCCCACCGTGGCCAGAGGAGAAGCCCCCTCGTTCCGTACACGGCGTTCCTTCTGGCACCGCGATGAGTGTTTCTTGGAAGGAATCAGAGGAGGAAAAGGTGCCTATACCTCTACCCTCGCCTCGTTTCCCCTTTTTGGGGTCTCCTGGCAGGCCCTCGTCGCCCTCCGCTGGACTCTCCTCGAAATCCTGGTCAGAACGCACCCCGGGAGAGGTCCGGGGAGTAGCGGTATCGGTACCTCCTGGTTTCCCCAAGGAAGACTTGGTCCTCGATCTTTTTCCCACGAGGATCCTTTCCTCCTTCCAGACCCCCCCACGGCATGCTTGCCGTTCACAACGTGCACCAGCGGAGATGTTGACCCATACCCGAACGAAGGATTGCAAAAAAACCGAGGGATTGCAAAAAAAACGAAGGATTGCAAAAAACGAAGGATTGCAATCCTTCGTTCAAGGGTTTTTTTGCAATCCTTCGGACCAGCTCCTCATCCTGAGCCATTCTTTGCCAGTGCCGCGGCCCGGTGAGGGCCCTCAGAGCCCAGACTTGTGAAGAATTTGCCCGTCTCTCTATGGGCTCCCAGGTGGGGTCCGAGCAGACGGGGTCGGAGGATCGCGTCGCACCGCCGATGCATCGGCGATGCGACTCAATGTGGAGCCCGATTCTCTCCGCGCTGGCCGCGCGGATAGTTGCCCCGGCGACGTCGCCGATGCATCGCCGATGTTTCGACGATGTGGCGCGATCCTCCGACCCCATCGACTCGGACCCCATCCAGGAGGCCTCTGATTAGCCACGTTGCGAACAGAACCGTGACATCCGATGTCTGGGTATACAACCACGTCGATCCTGGCCAGGCCAATCCTGGGCCCAGAGTCGGCGTATGGGGCTTCCTCACCACGCCACGAGGACGTACACAGCGATCCTGAGGAGGAGGAGGAGAAGAGGAGGAGGAGGAGGAGGAGGAGGAAGAGGGAGAGGGAGGACTCGAAGTCTTGGAAGCCTCTGGTCTTTGTTTTGCCTCGACGTGCTGGGGTTCTGGGTCCCCCGCTCGCCCTGCGGGGGCGTCCGCAGCCGCCTGGGGCTCCACGCGCGCTCTCCGGCGCGGGATCTGCGCGAGGCGTGCGGGGCCCGCGCCATCGCGCCGATGGCGGAGCTCGTGCTCTCCGAGTTCGGGGGGCTCCAGCTGCCCAGACCTCCGACGTCTTGCCCCGGACGTTTTCGGACATTTTCGTTGGTCCCTGGAGGTGGTTTCGGAAGCTTCTGGGCGTGTTCGAAGTTTTTACAGCCTCCAGGCGTTTTCGGAGGTTTTTCCAGCCTCGGGGTGTTTTCCAGCAGCTGCGCCTCGCCGAGAGCATTCCCGGGGGTGCCCGGATCGTCCCGAACGCCACCGATCTCTCCAGACCTCCAGCGTCTTGAAGAACTCCAGGCAGAGTTATCTGGTACTGTTTCCGGCCTCCCAGGGACCTCACTAGGCTCCAAACATGTCAAGTAACGACTCGGGATGAAGTGCATGCTGGCCCTGCGGAACGGGTCGGGGTTTCGTGGGCCCCGCGTTGAAAAGATCAGCACGTCGGATCTCTGGCTGTGATCATGATGATGATGATGATGATGATGATGATGATGATGATGATGATGATGATGATGATGATGATGATGATGATGATGATGATGATGATGGTGATGATGATGATGATGATGATGATGATGATGATCATGATCATGATCATGATCATGATCATGATCATGATGATGATGATGATGATGATGATGATGATGATGATGATGAAGATTATTAGTATAATTGCTATTATTCTGATGACGGTGATGATGATGCTGATGCTGATGCTGATGCTGACGAGGACGATGATGATGCTGCTGCTGCTGATGATGATGATGATGTCGATGGTGGGCCCATCGTGGGCCCAGGGCTGGTGCTTGCCAGCAACCTGGATGCACGTGACGCGCCCAGCCCCAGATGGCTTCGCAGCGCTCGGCCCTTCTGTGGCCGGGCACGTCGGGCTTCCGCATGTGTACTCAGCGCGTGGCCTCAATGTGAGTATTTTCATGTGTTTTGTCCATGTGTTTCATGCGTGTTTTCCTTTTGATTTCTCCATGTGTGTTTCCATGTGTTTTCCTTCCGGATGTTCCACACGTGAGAATTTTCATGTGTTGTTCCAGCTTCCTGATACGTCCTGCGCCTTCCTGCTTTGGTCAGGGAGGCACAGATGCCCAGACCCCTGGCGCAGTGAGCTTTTTAATGAAGTTGACCCCCAGAGGTCTCGACCCATTCCCCTGGACCGACTTGTCATCCCTTCCCAGATCCCGCGATGGCCCCCAGAGCAACACAAAACAACCCATCCGTCTCGACCTTTCCGCGACGCGAGGGGCACGGGGCATGCACCGACCCCAGGCCGCGGGTGGGCCAGCGAGGGAGGCGATGACGCACTGGGGGGTTGGGTCTCACGGCCTGGGTAAGGACATCTCCCCGCATCTCGTGGGCCCCTCTTTTTGTTGCAGCCCGTCCCCTGACCCGCGCACCGTCCGCCCACATCCCTCGGGCCAGGCTTCGCGAACTTCCCTCTTGGACGCCCCCCTCTTC